TATGATACAAGATATATTCCTGTGCACAGCCCAGAAATGCTCCATCCCAAGCACAGCAGCCAGGGAATTCACCCCGTGCAACAGCCACACAGCTCAGTACGGGGGTCACCTAAGGCAAGGGGCCTTAGACAGCTGTGTGCTCCCGGTTACACATTCTCATCTCATAATCAACCACAGATCAGTCCCAGATGGGTGGTTATAGGATCGGCTGTCATAGCCGCTTGCTTTTTGAATGTCTCCTGCGCGGCGAGCGAGCCCTCCCCACGGCCGCGCACGCAGAAGGCAGATGGCTGCGGGGGGCTGGCCCCGGCCGGCAGCTCTGGCGCTCAGCCCCAGTGGGACAGGAGAGAAAAGGAAGAAAAGATGCAAAAAAATGCATGGGTCGAGATAACACACAGTTTAGTTATCGCTCTCCCCTTCCTGCAGCACACCAAAGCTTCGCAGCGCCACGTGGGCTGCCACCTCCATCCCGAACGGACCCGGCACAGTACCTGGAGAGCCAAAAAGCTTTGAGGAAATCTGATCTGCAAAACTCGCTGCTCTGCACATAACCCTTCCTTTCCTTAGGAACCGGACTGCTGGATTCGGACCTGTCCGTGAGGAAGAATTTAAAGCTGGCCATGCAGTCTGGTGCTGCTCAGCAAAGTTCAGAGCTTCAGGAGCAAGCAGCGGACTGAAGGACAGCTCCCCCCAACGTACCACAGCTTTACAGCCTGGTGAGATCAACGGGGACTCACAGCTTTTGCAAGGGCTTATTGGCAACCTCTTGAATTAAAAAGAATAGCTTAGGAAGAAGTTAGGAGAAGCAAAATATCTGAAGGAACTTCCAGCTCCATCCTCCCCAAGCACCTGTGGCAGACACGATGAGTTCTGCTCACTCCCAGTCCATTTAAATGATCAGAAGGGGAATTACAAAGATCTCAAGCACCATCTTGCAGGCAAGTCAGGAGAGAGATCACCTGAACTTTGAGCATCTGGAGCCATCACACGACGGAGACTTCTCCCGCAAGAACACAACCACACAGGAACATGAGAACAGTTTATTAATCCCAGTTCCTAGATTCCTAACCAATTTGCTCACATGATATCCATATAATCTTGCTCCACCTAATCCTCCTAGAAAGCTCTCGAAAGCCTACGCACTGACAGATGGAAGCTGCAAGATGCAGTGCGAAGGCTGTTAGAGAACAGAGCAAAACGCCCGCTTCCAGCCCGATCTCAGGAGCGGTCCTTTGCTCGCAAGAAAAGAGGGGAGCAAACAGCGAGCTGCTAGATGCTAGGAGAGCAGTGTATGGGAACACACAGGTGGTTTTTCTTTGTTTTTTTCCATTTTGATAGGCTAGACAATTCATACAGATTTTTACAGATCTTCATTGATACGTATCTATAAAATCCATGCGATGAAACCTCTTCAGAGCAAGGGAATCTTAATAAAGACACAGCATGGCAGTCTGAGGTGTACTCCCTACAGAAAATCATCACGGATTTCTAAATCGTGCCCAAATCTTATTACATGGATATAAGCAAGTGGTTTGGATGCTCTATTAGATAGTCCCAAAGTATGAGAGGAGCTATAATGCTCGGCTGCACCAGGGCAGCACAGATCTGAAGCACCATCACTGCAAACCTGGGACTTGTTTTCTGGATTCCTCAGCTTCCTGCAGACAAAAAGCCCTCTTTCATACCTAAGTGTCTACTTAAAGAGCTCTACGGAGAGCCTAATACACTCCTGGCGTAGCTAAAGTAAAAACCAGAGACTTCAAAGGGACTGAGCCACCTACAGCGCGTGCGACTCTTGCAGGACAAGCAGCAGGAGTAAGCCTTCTGCTTTGAAGCTGCGGTTGTCCACGAACCTATGATGTTAGCAAGTTTTACTTGAGACAAATTGCTCCCAACTTCGCTTTAATCTGAACCCCCCCTGCCCAGGAAGCCCAGCTCCCAGAGGGGTCTGCAGCCCCGTAGCTCTGTCCTGGGTGGGTGAAGTGGCTGGCACGGAGGTGGTGACACTGCTTTGGGTGCACGCTGGCATTTGTCCCGCTTAGGTGTAACGGGCAGGAGCATCGATGTGTCTCTAATACCTTCTCACAGAGCATCCCAGATAACATAATTAGAAAATTAACATAAAAGCAAACGTTTCCTTCAGATGTAACGATTGCCTAATGCTCTTTGAAGTGAAAAAAAGCTCAGCATCCATCTCACTGTTTTTTAAACATCATTAAGCTAAAAGTTTATTAAATGTGAACACCTCCAACCTCTTTCAAACAGAGAAAGAAATGCAATTGATTAGTCCAAATTTTTCGAAGATAATTATGTCCTATTTTTCATTTTTGTCAAGCACAGCAGGGGCTCTAGGTACGAGATGCTCAGCGAGACCTGAATATTACACCTAAAACCGTGCAGGGCCAGCAGCAACAACTTTACCAGGAACTAAATAAGCCTGTAATTACTGGGAACCTGATAGGAGAGAAAGCTTCCTGCTGGATTAGCCAGTCCTCCAAATTTGAGCCTGACGGGTGGACAGCGGTTAGCTCCATCTCATGCCGCTGGTAAAGGCGTGCCAGAACACGACTAAAATGAAGAAGCAACAGTGCCCATTTCATCCCCTGTTAGCTGGGTGAACTTGGGGATTTCTAGCTTGTTTTCTAGGCAGTCAATACATGTGAGCTGCTTTGGATTAACCTGATAACGCAAACCAAAAATTTCAACTATTTTCTGGAAAACAAACAACTGATGAAGGGAATCAATTGCATGAATTTTTAATAAAGATTACATTAGAGTTTTGAAATACATTCAGCACACTTCGCTGCGAGTCCCACGATTTCGAGCTTATTAAAGGCATCTAAATCTAGAAACAAACAGTGGGTGGGAAATCACATAAAAACGTCTAAATCCTGTAGGGCAGCAACCAACTGAATCAGACCTGCAAAATATACTTAATTTTCTCATTCACACAGGAGGATTTAAAGGAGCTTGTTTGTATCTGAAGTGCAAATAAGCTTCAAATTGCTTTCAGAAATTATTGGGGCTCGAGTTCCATCTAAAGAAAAAATACCTAAGGAAGAAAATGAGAGTTTGGTTGTGACCAAAGAAACAGCACCCGAAGTTGGTACCCGAGAAGAGGTGGCAACATGCAAACAGGTAGGATATACTTCCCTCACCCAAAAATCTTACTAATGACTTATTCCAAAATCAAATAAATATGTAAAGACTTCCCTAAAATTCAGAGCCTTTGGAGCAAGCCCGAAAAAACTGCAGTAGCTCAGACCAAGATATGAATGGCACTGTGGGGAAAGAAATGCTAGCAGAGGTTAGCTGTTTGAGACCTCTTGTTTGTTTGTGAGGATGCCTGAAAAATTAGGGTGTTCAAGCAGGACAACAGGAAATTCATCACCAGGAAAGTGGTGTGATTCTTCAAAAAATGGCAATGTAGCGGGAGCTTAGACCCAGAATCAGACTCTGGAACCTGGAAGGTGTAGGAGAGATGGGCAGAGATGAAGGCACCATAGATGCTAAATTAAATTTTCTGTCTTTGCCTTGAAGTTCAACTTGTGCTCAAAGATAGGGAAAGAGTGGGCAGACGCAGGGAAATGTTCAAATAAGATTAGAAAAAATGGAAAGAAAGAAGATGAGAGAAGACTGGAGGAGATGGCATAGTAAAATTGTAAACATCGCTGCTGTTCCCTTTTGTTGTTGTCTTCCATTTGCCACATTCCCAAGCAACCTCCCACCTCTCCCTTTTTTTCAGTTTTGCCTAATGGTTATCATATCTCATTGAATGAACAACATCCCAATCTCTTAACTTCTTAAATTTCAGGATGTCCTCAACAGCTTTACTTTGTATTACTCTGCTCCATGCACGACACCCCGCCCTTACCCAAAATATGATTGACATTTGTGCACAGGGCTGATTTTCATAGAAGATGAACCCATCAAAAGGTCAACTCTGAAAAATACAAGATCTCCTGGACCATTACACCATCTTCAAACCTTGGTCACGGTTACTGGGAGGTTAAATTACTGGCACAACTGAGTGAACATCCAGGCCATTGGAGGTAGGCAAGGGGCAGAGTGCAGGGAGATCCAAGGACACGCTTCCATGGAGGTTGTTGAGTGTATTAAATATCAATTGCAACCTTAAACCTACATTCATCTAAATCAAACAAGCTGAAGATAAAATTCACTGCAGCAAGCAACACATGACAACATATATTTCCAGAGTAAAACCACTGCATCGAGGAATGTAAATATTTTTACTTTTTTTTTTTTTAATGTTTAAGTCAATGCGAAAGTAATACATGCCATAGACAGTTAAATGATTCGTTTTGATTTGAATAACTGAGATATTTTCATATTTTCTTTGAGGGATGCCATTCACAGCTGAAAGGAGAAATTGTAAGGCTCCCTCGATTGTTTGCACTGGCTTTGTCACACAACTGAAAACATCTCTTCCCATTATTCTCTGACATATAAGCAAAATATATTTGTTCTAATTATCCAGGCATTACACATCAACTTTCCACCTACTGTATTGCAAAGGGAAACAGCTTGGATCCTGCCAGCTTTCAGTGCACAGAATTTCATTGGGAAACAGCTCAGTGCATGCACTTGGTGACATCACACAGACAAATTAGCTGTGGAGATTATTGTTTTAATCCAGCAACATATCCAGCACACAGAACAGTGCTCCTGGCTGGTCGTATGGTGTTAACATATCACTTCTTTTTGAATTATTAGGTTGCTTTAAGGACAGCTAAAAATATTTTCTCAGATCTGGTTGAAATTTCTGGCACATTTAGCACTGCTTGTTATTGTCACATGAATGCTACATGTCAAATACAGATAGCTGTGGTGAGCAAAACCAGTAAAAGACTGACCATCTTGTTTTCAGGTGCCGTTACAAGATGATCACAGAGACCCACTGGAACTAACTCGGTCCCTTAAAAATAATGGCTTCTGACTTACCGTTTTAGTTTGTTACTGAAGAAAAAAAAAAAAATTACCTTCTTCCTTTCTTTTCTTTGCTTCTTCTTCACTTCTCTCTTTAGCCTTTAATGCTTCATCTGCTTTAGCTAAAAAAAAAAAAAAGGTATAATAATTAGTTAATTCATCTCACCAAACAACATTTCCTAGTGGGTTAAACCCAATTTCAGTTTTGCAGGTCCCACAATGAAGTCAATGTGCATGAAAGAACAGAATTTGGTTCTTAATGTATTTTCCTTCCAGATATTACTACAGTTACAACAGTTCAAATGGGTAATTCTTGCAGGCACTGTTAGTTCGACACAAACTCTGTGTGCATTTTTGTAAGCAAAACTTCCAAGAATTTTTTCGTAAATACAAATGTCCTCACCCTGCCTGCCCCAAACCCAACTCTAAAGAAACGAATGCGGTGCATTTTAAAAAAGATTTGCTACCATAGTGAGTAATCCATAAGACCTCTTTTGAGGATGAAACAGAAACAAAACAGTATTTTCAGGGATGCAGGGTTGCAGATAGCATTTAAAACAGGAGCCAAACGCCTATTACTTAGCATTAAATGAGGTAGTATACAATTTTCTCTTCACCGCAAATCATAGCAGCAGTACTTTATTCATGTTATGACAGTATTCTTGAAAAAGAATCTTTTTCCCTCTAGAAACCTCTTCCCTTATTACTTAATTATCTACTAGTTGCTCAACTGCAGGGGTTTTCAAACACTTTACTACAGATGTTAAAGAAGATTAAAAATATACAGCACAGTAACAAGGGACTATCAATATACTCTGTAAATTAATTAAATTTCTGTTCTAGCACATCATTTATTCCAAAGCATTAACGTCTCAAAGGAGCCATTCTCTTTTATTGCCATCTCACTGCCTGATGAGTGAACTAAGTGAGAATAAGTCTCTAATAGCATTATACTTGATGAAATATTAAGTTTTAAAAAGTATCACCATGTCAAAGAGAAAAGAGCCCAAAAGAAACAGAATTCAGAATTTAGAGCAGGCCTTCTTCTAGAATAAAATCACTGTAAATTGTGCCATAAACAGCAAATGCGTATTCGGTTTTGCCAATACTTAGTCCTGCCACCTCCCAGCTCAACCCATAATTTCTGAACACGAACTTCAGTTCAAGAGCAGGGGATGCAGCAAATGACCACCACATGACTGGGTCTTGCAGCCCCCGATGTCTTTTTGCAGCCAGTAGCTGCACCTTCTTAAAATATACAACTTAAACAGCGGTGTTACCAAGTGATCAAGTAATTACGCAGACATCTGTTTCCATTTACATGCTTTTATACATATTTAGACTACGTTTAAAGTCATGAAATATTAAAACTTTTCTGCCAGTGAGGATCATTACAAGGATCTATTAAATTAGATAATAAAAACAAACTGCTAGTAACTCTAAAGACTTTTACTTCATTTACACTTTATTCTCCCTGGTAAAAGGACACGGATAATAGAAATTCCATTTAAATTCAATTTTGGTTATATGTGTAATTGTAGATATACCCCTTGAGTCATGTAAAATGCTCAGCTTATGTTTCTTTCAAATTATCCCGCTCAGATTCACATTCTACTCCTTACAACTGTCTTCAATATGTATTAGCAGAGCTCATTAGGCTGAAATTTAATAATGCAAACATCAGGTGGATTTCAAGAACCTCCATTATCAACACAAGATGGATTGCTTATATAGCTCTTGGGCCAACTGGGCACAATTTAGATTCAATAAACTACCATGCCTAAATTTGATTTATCTATTCCACTATGCTACTTTGTTCTTCCTTACTGATTTGTTGCAGCACAGGAACAATTCATTGGATACCTCAATGGCTATCCAAGGCAGAAATATTAAGACTCGCATGAAAGATGTTCCTGGTCTTTGACTGAATTTCTGTGCTGTATGTGTTAACTAGAAATCGCTGATTTCCAACCATTGTAGCTGTAGTTAAAGCTTCAGCTAGCAGGAACAGCGATGTCCTTTCATGTCCTGCTTAATTATACGGACAATGGAGTCATTTAGAAAGCATCATGAGGACAATTCTCTATGCAAAATCGCTCATTAACAACAATTTAACTTAGCCCATAAATCTGCAGAGCAGTAAGTCGCTGAGGTTATAGGGCACCGTCCATTACAACCACCAGCAGTCACTGAAGCCATTTGTTTCCTTAAGAATTTAATGCTAACGATTCGCTTAAAATACTTCAAATCCTCTGTCGTTATTCACTTACCAAGCATCATTAGAAACTCCGATTTATTTTGATCAAATCAAGTTGCCATTACACACCGTTAAAAGATCCTTACGACCTACTCCAAAAGGCAATGCACCCTCTCTGGCCTGCGGAGTGCTGTTTCAGGGCGCTCAGGCCCGACATGCTGGCCACTGACACAGCACTTACAGGACCCCGTATTTGGAAGAGAAATCATTTCTGCTGCACTGCACTTCCCTTAAACCGGAGGAGGAGTGACAGCTGCTCATCACCCAGAGCAGATCAAAGAAGTCACTTCAGCAAAAGTCTGTTTTTAATTGATCCAGGTAGCTGGAGTGCTGAGACTGCTCCTGAAACTGGGCTTCCTGCATGGATAAACAGCTAGCATGACAAAACTCCGGCTGCTTACAAAGCTTTCTAAAATATAAAATAAATAAATAAAGAGGTGCTTGAGCTTGCAGCATTTAAGAGCTCGTCCAGCCCCAGATAAAATTACACTTCTATTGATTTTTTTTTCTCTGAAAGATGGCAAAATGACACGCGGAAGATGTTTAGGATGTTTGCCTACACTAAAATAATAAAGTTGTGACATGCAGATGTTTGCTGGAAGCGACTGGGCTGTTAATACATGTACAACAAGGTGAAAGCGAGATTTAGGAACTTCCAGGTGCCCCTGCTAGCAGAGCTTGCTCCGGGCTGGTTGCAGTCAGCGGCTCACCGTGCTGCATGCAGCACAAAGGACGACGACATCAATCCCTTCCTTTGGTGAACAGAAACCACGAGCGGAGAGCATGGCCAAGCCCCACAGCCAAATAAACGGGATGCAGAAGTGGAACAGCACTGCTCGGTCACACCAAAGGCTGTAATGCTTACATAAAGCAAAGTTTACAGGAATTACCTTCTTGGTTATTAAAAGCATTTTGGAGATGAGACGAGACGTCAGAGTGAAATATAAGAACAAGGATGGCTAATTTGAGATCCACAGAGATCCACGGGCCATAACATCAGTTGGTGTAAATCAGCATAGCTTTACCAATTACATCTGAAGATCCCAGGAGTTATCCCCCACTCAGTGTTACCGATATTTAGCGGATTTTTTCAGGTTTATACCCACATACTCTGCCATTCAAGCAGACTGTAATTGCTTATGTACCAAATGTTCACTCACAAAGAATTTCAGGCTCTTGCCCATTTTCCAAGCTCTATACACCTGCATAGATTTTCCTTTTTACTTTTGTCTTCTTTACTAATTACATATATCCAGAATCCTCTTCCCTCCAAACCTTTATAAAAAAAGAAATGCAGTCTTCCCAGAGCACTGCTCAATACTGAAATACTTCAGAAACTCAATAAAAATATTTTCAATAAAGTGCAAGTGTTTAATAATCTGTCTCTATTAAATCGTACGCTTTCTGTGCTCCTCTAACTTGATCAATTTTTCTGGTTGCAAATAAAAAACATGAGAGGATAAGAAACAGAGAGAAAAGAATGAACAGCCCTTTTGTTTCTGAAAAATATATCAAACTAGAAGCCTTAAAAACGTTTTTATTTTCTTACCAAGAAGTCTGACTGCTGTATTTGACATTTACCACTTACCCCACTCCTGGTGCCAAACAATCACCACCAAGCGTTATCTATTGGTGTGCTCCATTCAGAGCTGCCCAAAATCAACCACGCTTCCCCTGTAACTACTTAACTTCATTCAGCATTAATAGTTCTGCAAACAGTCATACTGATAATAGTTGATGGTGAGAAAATGAAGACACCAGCCATGGCACAGCAGTTCCTGACACTGCTGGAGCCCTGCGGGTGCCCAGGAAGCCCCCGAAGCCCCTGAGGTCCAACTGCAGTGTTGTTGCCTGAGTTTCACAGCATGGCTGGGAAGAAGCTATTTGTCCAGCCACCGAAGATCAGGGCCATCCCACACGTAACAGACACATTCAGCTTGACAGAAATTCCTCTCACCAAAAGGCCTTGCTACGCCGATCAAAGGACGGTCACTGTGCACCCGGCAACTTTCTGGGCGGACTGAAAAGCCACCTTTATGAACAGGAGCAACAGTGCTTCTTCTACTCCCTTTAACACTGAAATTCTCATGCTTAAAAAAAAGAAAACAAGCACAGAAATGAGACAAGTGATTTTAAAATGCTCAGCTGAATGGCACTGCGCAAACCAAAACCAAAGTCCCACTGGCAAACACAAATTGGTTCATCAATCACTTAAATGCATCCCCAGGTGCAACAGGAGCAGGCACAGCCAAAATTTGGGGACGGGGCAGCTGTCCCCACCCAGCTCTCCCCACCCAGAGCACGGTGTTGGTGCTGGAGGGGGCTGTGTGAGGGCTGAGGTGATGGGCGCTGCCTCACGAAGGGCAGCCCGGCCTAGCGGGCATCACGCGCGTGAGGAGAGGCGCGGGCAGGAGCAGGCCCGTGAGTGCCTAGGCCTGGTGTTGTCAGAGCTCTGCCTTCTGCTTTGTGAGCTTTTATGGCAGAATTCTGCCAGAATTCCAAAAAGCACTGCTATAGCCATGGTCTGTGCCTACCACATAGCTCAAACAAACAGCTACAATGCACAGCAATGTGGCCTCAAGCTTTTGCCTTGCTTAACACTACACAGAAAATAGAAACACTAAGGTATCTTAAAATATTTCTATCAGTATTGGACAAAAAGCATCATTTTACACCGTTAAACTACAACACTTTAACCCTATTAACTTTACAATTTCTTTGTTGGTCATTTAGCCCTGCTAATTCTTGGTCTTCCCAACCAGTTCACAGGGCACTGGGAGCCACCGGCCACTGTGGGCTGACCGTGACGATGTACAAAAATGCCCTGCAAAAATCAATAGGTTTGCATTAAAATATGCTGTCTTA